ACATAAATTCAGACTTTCATAGGCCTGGCATGAAGGAAGTTAAAACAGCAAAACAAAATTGTTTAATTACTGATTTGTAGTAAGGTTTTTAAAAAATTTCAACAATATAAACAGTTGATATGTTTTATTCCAGTAGAACCTAGTATCTTCTTGGATTGAAGTGACCAATTTTGTCATGCTGATGGGGACCATGGCACTGCAGGCTGTGCCAGGAACGACAGTTTCCACAAAGTAACTAGTGCAGCTAATTATCATCAATGTACCTACCACAAAAAAACTTTAGCCATAGCCATGCCATAGAAACAGATTTCATCTTGCTAGACTTGAATAATGCAAGTAACACTGCTAGACTAAAACAGCTATTGAAGGGAAGAAACAATAAGGCAATTCTTTTTCTCCTTGCAAACAAGATTTAACTGCTGGTGACAGGGAAAGTACAGGACATCTTTCTAAAGCAGGTCTGCATAGTAAAACACACTTGGGAAAGGCAAATATCTAATCTCATTAGAACATTATCCATAGAAGCACTTTTGCATGGTGGAGATACATGTTTATGCTGTCACGCTGGAGCTGTAGGTGACCTGAAGAGGGATCTGCTCAACAGAAAAAGCAAAGGAGGGAAAACTGAACACTTAATTTTGTCTGTCATTTTCTCTAGAGTAGTTCTGGAGTAAGGACTTTCTATAGCACAGTGCAGATATTCTTTCTAGTGTGTCCCTGAAATGAATTCATCATCAAGCATTTATGAGATCATGTTCCGTTGTCATGGAACTGTCATGTCACACGTATCACACACTCAGCATCAAGGCTTTCAGAGCACGCAGAACCGTTTGCATGTTCAGAGTTCAACAGCCAGCAGAAAAAGATAACAAGGACCACAAGGCCAGTATAAAATTATAAAAACAGCTGCCAGGAGAGCTGCTCAGCTACAGGGCTTCTCAGAGGAGGTGCCAAGGAAAACAGGGTGCCTGTGTGCCCCTGAAAACAGGGAGGACAGTGACTAAAACAGGACCACAAACCAACTGTGGCACTGCTGAGACACAGCTCTGTGGCAGAGCAGTACAAATGAAAACATCCTGTTTTGCTCAACAAATACTTTCTTCTCTCTAGTGCAGTGTGGTCTGGCATTACTGGAAATTCTAAATTCATCAACAGATATATAGAAAATTGATAAAAAGTAATGACTATTAAACTATCTTCCCAAATGCAATAATGTAACGCCTATTTTTTTGATTGCTCTTGCTTTACAGTCCAGATTTATATTCAGATTTATATGGTGCAGTCATGTAAGGATTATTCTGTTTGGAGCAACTCATCAAACTTGTGTGTTTCAAATGTATTGCAGCATAACTGGCTTAAGTTTTAGGTCAACCTCAGCATTTTTCATGAAAGGACAGTGGAATGGGAGCCTTCAGCTGTTATTCAGCCACTTCATGGAATATGGTACAGATCAGAAGTGTGGCCTTTGATGAGTTATTGCTTAAATAAAAACATACTGCAAGCATTTATTTCTGTTGCAACAGTAACTCCACTCCGTCTGTCCAGGGGGAGGATATTACATAGTTGTAATTAACACAAAAAAACCCCAAGATACATAACCTGTACCCGCATCTACATTTTTTGGAGCTCTCTGACAAAGGACAATTTAACTCGTGGCATTCCTGATATTTTATTATGTTTTGCAAGTGAGAAGCAGGCCCTGCAGTCTTAACTAGCAGAAGTAGAGGTGACAGGAAATGGAATTTCCTAATTAGTTTCTGCATTGCATTAGATGATTTGGTTGCCGGAGGTAGCAGAAACTAGACATGATGACTCGGATCTTTTCCTGTCCAATGCAAAGGATGGGACTAAGACAGCTATGTGAGAATCAGAACTAATTAAATTCAAGGCACAGACTTTTTATTGCTGGATGCTTGTACAAGTCTAGACCAAAAGGGCTGATTGAATCTTGGTCCAAGTAACAAATAAACTGGGTTACATTAAACAGCGCAGCTGTAGGCCTCTTCCAACTTGACTCCTCTGGACCTCAATGACAGTAAACTTTGGTGGAGTTGAGTCATAGGAGCAATTTCTGTATCTAGAAATAAAGGATGCATGAGATGGCTGAAAGCTGGAACTCAAGCCTGGTATTTCAATCTTGATCTTCAGTATAAGCACGTGGAAAGATTCTAAATATCTCTATAAACAGATCAGAAATCTAGTTATCTTCCTATGGCATGACCCAATGGCAGCTGTCTAGAGGACAATATATGAAAACTCCATGAATAAAGCAGTATTTTGTCACTCCTTCCTAACTTTCAGTAAGGTGCAGCTTAGGGACATCCCAAGACAGTGATGTAACTTCATTTTCAACAGCCCCTCAGAGACTTTTGCCTCACATCTTCATTAAGTTGAGAAACTGTTGCTTTTATTAAAGCAAAGTCTAGAAGTTAAGGAGGACCACTTCTAACCCTATTTGGAAAAAATCCCTATCCATCATTTCCATTTTTCTCATCCCTTCCTCCCCACAAAGGTAGGTCTTTGGGATGGCTGTAAAGTCATGCGGATAGAAGTTATGTACATTCTGGCTTTTCAAAAGGCTTGTAGGCAAAAGATCTCAATTTAGTTTAGGGAACCAGTGATATTGGCACAATTAGACTGAAAAGTATTTTCTTTTCAAAAACCATGTATGTTCTTACTCTGCTTGTTTGCTTTCTTAAAAGATGAAGATTCATGATTAAAGGGGGAAAAAAACCCCTTCTGTGACTGTAATAGAATCTATGCTCAGAGAATCTCATTTACACTCTGCAAGCTCCAGACAAGCAAGCTTTCTCCACTTTTGGCCAAGCAAGACTTTTGTGCCGCTCCTGCCCTGTTGCAATTAAGTTGAGGCTGATGTCTGCGTGCTCCAAAGAACAGATTGAGTCCAAGCAATTCTTCTGCTACTACAGCCAGGTCGCCAAGACAATGCCCCGATGGCAACGGCACGGTCTACTCATGTCTGTGTACCAGCTCAGCAACTCCAGCTGTGAGAACATATGAAGAGATGTGAAGCCTTGAACATACTTTGGCTACAACCACCCTTCAGGAGCAGCCGAGACTCCCTCACAGGCTGCTATTCTACCTAGGAAAGAGCCCATATGAGTTTCTTTCCTTTGGACTATCCAGACGGGAGCACAGGAGACAACAGGTTAGACAGGGTAGACGGTTGATTAATTAGCACACAAACATGAAAACAGAATTTTGTCACAGCCTGAATGTATTATTTATCAAATAGCGTATTTCCCAGGAGCTTAAACTTTAAAGAAATCACAAGGAAAACAGAGTTCTGGATGTTTCCTTTTGACAGACTGTATTTCACATTTTGGGCAATAATCTTGGCCCCTCTGTAATTCTTTCAGCCAAAGTGTTCAGACCATTATGCCAAAAATCACACTTAAAACTCGAAATATAAGCAGCTGAATCAGTGTCCTGCTTTTCTCATTTTCTATTCAGAGTTGGATCGTTATTAATGTAACAAGAGATGAAGATACAAATATTTGCAATGTATTTCATGTAATGAGTGAGCGAGGAGCTTTTACAAAGGGAAAAAGACACAAGGGAACAAATCCATGTGGATTATGTAAGTGTTTATCCTTCATAAAGGCTGTTACAGAAATTTTGGTTGTTTTTTATTAAAGCTTCTTCCAAGTACGAGTCATTAACAAGACCACTGTCAAAAGGTATGAATACTTACCCATTATGCTGATTGAGAAAAGTTACTCTCAGCAAAATGGTTGAATCTCTTCTCAGGCTGCCTGTACACACAGACAGACTGAGCCGTCAGCTGCTTTACGGGGAAATAATTCTAGAAGAACAAGAGCTCTTGACAATGTCACCAATGCAGTTTTTCTTTTGGTAGGAAACACAGAAGTCATAGCTTCATTTATACTGTGCCAGTTCTGAAAGTTTTTTTTAACTTCTTTTAAGAATACTTTCAGTAGAGAAGACCTATAACATTTTTCTCCAATCTCGGAAGTGTCTTCAGCCAATCACAAACTCTTCTCCCAAAAATAAGGCTGATTTGCAGATTTGCACGTAACAAATGAGGAAACCAATCTCTGAAATTAAGACTAACTGTATAACAAGTTGTGACTTCAGGCTGTAATTCCTTCTGCTGGAGCTGAGAAAAGCTCATGAGAAACGACACCACCAGCAAGCAAAGAATTCCCTTCAGGCAGGACTATATGAGCAGTTGGCACAACCGAAAGCAAAGGTGCAATGCTGCGGACAAGGAAGAATCACATCTGCAGCATCACAGTTGCATTCTAGTCAAGTGGGTGGCATAACATTGTGTCTTGGGGGAAAAAAGTGCACATGTTCCCATGATTGAGGACTGCAGCATAATACATATGGGCATGAAAGGTGAATGTTATAGATGACTGAACTGGTGTTTCTGAGTTGCCATTGCATTTCTTCCATGATCACACGTTTTTATGTGAGACATTTCTTAAAAATTTAAAATGACATGGGAGACAGAGTAAAAGAACTGCAACAAAGAATTTCCAAGTTTTGCTCAATTATCAGCAAAATGGAACACCTGGCCAAAAACCAGCAACAGTCCATCCCCTGAAAAGACATCATTTGGCAGCAACTCTTAAGTCTGCAGTAGTGTGTTCCTCCCTTTCAGGTCTTAGTACATAGTTCCTAGGGAACAATTCATCCAGTTCTCTATACTTTTAACCTCATGAAGTATATTAAACCCTCTTAGAAATAAGTAAAAGAACCAAAGGCAAGGAAATTTCTTTTATATTTTATATGAAATAGGAAAGGAATTCAATGTTGTCTTGTATGAGGTCTCTACAAATACTTTTGGAGACCAGAATTTCTGCTTCTGCTAGAAGAACAGTTAGGGGTAGAATAAACCACAGTAAGAACTGGGACTTGTGTTAAAAAGCAAGAACAGTCCTACCCATTCTTCCTTTTTTTCTGAACTGAACTGCACAGAGAACACACCATCACCACACTGGAAACACTTCAAATAGGAACAGAGAGATTTATGTATGTTAATCTGGGACAGGGTTTTCCCCCAGTGGATGCAGCAACCTTCCCCTTCATTTTGTACAATACCATACATTTGTGATACTGACTGGCACTCCTGTGAAAACTCCTGTCAACACTCCTTGTGCTTCTCCATATGCTAAACCTGTTCTTGCTCCAAGTTCAATCTTCCTTAAACAATGCAGCAGCTAAAAGAAAGCTTTAGCATATGAGAACTGAAGTGCCCTAAGCATAGAAGTTTGTTTATACAAAAAAAAAGTAAATTACAAAGTGTTATGAAGAAAATTTATTTGGTCAATGAAAGGAAACCTAAACAAAACACCAAATTTTTGACAAAACCCACCAAAAACAAGAGCGAAGACAAATGCACGACTGTTAATAACCCTTTTCCCTCTCCTGTCTCACTGAAGTTTTTCAGACTAATCACACCAGTAATAAGTCTTGGAGACTGGGGGCTTTTTAACATCAGTGTTCAATTTAACTTCATCTTGTCAGAACCAAAGTGAAAGAGGTAGAACTGACATGGAAATGCTGCTTGGAAAAAACATAGTAACTACTAGTAAATGCAAAGATATTTCAAACTGCATTGCAGACTTGCTTTGTTGCAGCTGGCTGCTGCAGAGGGCACAGCAACTGCTGGTGTGCATTATGAACTACACATGCCTCAGAGATACTCTGGATACACTGGGAATAAACTGAAGCTAGAATTTTAGTTGTGACCTTCCTCTGCTGCCAGAAAGACAGATGAATATGTCACTATTAAATGAGCAGAAGGTTCCTTTGCCCTGGCATGGAAACGCTGAGAGACAAACTACAGCCCCTCAGCACACAATGAGATGTAGCAGCAGTGCTTCACCGAGAGTCCTTGGAAGTATTCATGGTACCATTTTTTAAGGAGTCACTGGTTTTGAGGGGCCAGTTCTGCCTCTCTTACACAGACCACTTTTGTGCCTCACTCCACCTTGTTAGCTACTAGTGGGGCAAACACAACTGACCAAAAGTCGAGAGCGACAGAAATGGAACCAAACATCCTGTGCAGATGGAGGAGTACACATATAGGCACATCTACCTGCTTGTGTTTAAGTCTTGTGCATGTCATGTGCAGGTGGGCATTGGAAAGCTGCACCTAAAACAGACATAGCCTGCAGGACTACCTGTCTTTCATACCTCCATATACCTTGTTCAGATGCAGTCTAACAAAATAATAAGCCTTCGGTAAAGCTTCAAACCTGTCAGATGCTTTTTATTAGAATAGCAAAAATCACTGCATGCACTGTCCCCTATAATGTTGTGTCCTCTTAAGTTTCTCTTCTGCTAAACAGACCTCTAACAGACAGGACCACATCAGACTTCTGCCCCACCCTCCCATCCCCTTCATTAAAACATTTTTCCATATAATGTTGCTTTGGAGTCAAACTTCTGTCAGACAAGTATCAGTCTGGAAGAAAAACTTCCTGCGTTATTATAAACCTTTGAAAAAGAATTCAAACGTCTGGGCTATGGTAATTTGATAAGTTGTATCTTGGCCAGTAGGCTCCTGGTTCTCAAAAAAAATCCAAGATTAGCAGACATAACACTTCAAGCTGTGCTATGTGAAACAGGATCCAAATGCTACTATGTTAAGACTAAAAAATGGGATCACTCAAATTCCTAAACAGTAAGAGCAGACAATTCCTATGGTTTTTTTCTTATTTGCATAATTTTAAGTTTTCCCAGTTCACTGAGTATAGACATTGATGTTTCTTGCAAGCATGGTCAAGGCAGGTGGGTATCAAATGAGTAAACACATGACTTAAGACAGGTTTGATATTCCCATCCCTCCTATTACTACTTGACAACTGTATGTGGGTTGAACAGACAGTGACCATTGCTGACAGACAGTGTAAAAGAAACAAAGGCCAAAGACACACATGCTGTCCTTGCCAGATTCTGCCCCAAAGCTTACCCAAAACCAAAATTGGCAGTTTGCTCTTTTAGCAGCACAACCTGACTGAGGCACAGTTGTGTGCCATGTCAGAGCACAGTCCAGGTACTCACAGCTTAAGGGGAATAATGGGCCAGTATTTGGGCTGCTTTTTGTCACAGTTCCTATCAAAGATAAGCTGCATGGCAGCCTCCATTGCCTGGATTTTGGCAGCATCAGCACCATATAGTTTCTTCATTTCTGCCATTCGCCTCTCCCCAGGTCTTTCCGTAGGCGGCTCCACAGAACGCTCTGTCCTCCTGTGAAGGTCTTGATCAGCCTCCACGTACGGGTCCTCAGCTTCCAGCTGCTGCTGCCTCCCTAGACAAACAAACCATAAGAGATGTAAATTACTGAGCTATCAACCAATCATGCTTCAGTTTAGATTTTAAAAATATGACATATTCATATTTTTGCTGGGTCTTAAAAGGCCAAAATTCACACATTCTAGGGTGCAGCTGTGCTCATTTTGCATAAAGACACATTCCTACTAAATATCATAATAAAGGCAGGCTGGAAGAAGTGGGAAGAAAGGAAGAAGACCCTGTAATTGAATCCTAAAATTGTAGCAAACCTCTGTATTAGTACTAGTAAGCAAAAATTAGCATTGTTTCATTTCTTCCCAACATACACATGCCCTGAAAAAAACAAAAAAAACCAAACAACCAAAAACCGAAACACAATCCCTCTCCCCCCACCAAGAAAACACAGAAACAACTCAACCAAAAAAATCCCAACCCACTCCCCCAACCAAAAAAACCCCAAACAAACAGGAGAGTTGCTTCCAAAGTAATGACTTGGCAGCTGAGAAAGGAAATAATGCATAGGACAATGCAACTTTAGCTGAATCATAGCCAAGACAAAATATAATCAGTTATTACTCTATGAAAATGAACAAATCAGTCTGTCATGTCTGCCATTAAGTGCATTCAATGACACACAGCTGTAGGCACTGTATTTAGTAAACTATCCAACCTCATCTGTTTCTCAAGGCTTGAGAAGTTCACAGCTAGCAGCCTTACTCTGTTGCTTTGAAGACAAATAAAACACCATCAACATAAATCCATGCATCAGGTCTTTTAAAGAGGATTTAAAACAATTCACAGAGGCAAAACATTTGGACCAATCTGTCAACAAAAATTCTCTTTGGTAAGCCCAATTGAGAACTTGATTTTGCATGTCCAAACTTACCTCCACTTCCTGGGTGCTGCTTTGATGAAACAAATAATGCTCTGTGCAGTTAAAACAGCATAGTCCCTCTTATCGGGACATTTCTACAAGATGTAGAAAATCACCTGGGAGCTGAACTCCTTTGCCTACCAATAACAAAGGACTGTCCTCAAAACTGTATAAGAGACACAGTTCACTACTAATGACAGCAGTTGGGTTTTTTAAATATCAAAAAGGACAGTGTCCACAGGTCAGAATGCATTAGACGCACACAGGACACGCTTCTCAGTGTTTGCTGCCATGTACCTCTTCCCTCTTTCCCCTTAAGGCAAAGACTTAGCTTCCACAACGCACATGACATCTGCAAACCCCAACCCAAAGTTAAGTATCCTGACAGATCTGTGTCAAACATCTGCAAATTATTTTTATACTGGAAAGTACAGCATATATAGCAGCCAACTGCCTGTCAGCCTTCCTAAAGGAATTATCTCCTATACCTCATTCACATAAAATAGATATTTTAAAGAATATAATCAGAAACTTCAATTTTGGGATCTGTTTGTCTGACAGGGACATAGAAAGCTTTTGTCCTGTCATCTGAAACACCATTCACAGTTTTGTGCTGGTCGACAAAGGACAGAAGGCTTTGAGGAGTTATTAGCAATCTGCTCCAAAAAGCCGTTTCTGTGACTTTGCTTTAAGGGCACACCCTGAACTGGCTACACTGCCAGAATTCACATGGAAATATACATTAGAGTCCATATGTGCTTTTGGAAGAGTCAGATTTATTTGGTGTCAGGCCATTTTAACCAGTAGGTCTGAATTAAAGGAGGAGCTAACACTGCCTACAGAGGGCTCAGCACTCTGAACAAGGTATAGCACCCAGACTGTGACTACACAGGTCACTTGGGTCCCACTGAAACCGACTTCCTGGGACACCAATGTCTCTCCACAGTAAAACTCTGGCAAGGCAATGAACTGAACTCCTATTTGTTAACTCTCTTGGGCCACAAAGATAATTCCTTGTACTTCTGTATTGCCCATGGAAATTCTTTATTCTTTAGTTCCATAGCTGCATGCTAGAGACAGCTGCTTCCTCGCTTGCTTGCCATAGAATGCTCTCTGATAGCTCATTGCACATATTAATGCTTTATTATTAAGAAAAATCAATTTTTCTCGAGATAGATAATGAATTCTTCTGTTTGGAAATTACATAGGTCTGTAGCAGAAGCTTTATGATGGATGAGTGGATTACAGTTTAGGGCACATCAATCTCCATTTTGTAGCACAGAGTAGTTCATAAATCTGCAGATTCTACTAGTAACAATCAAAATAATAATACCAATTTAAATTCCATTCTCAAAATTACCTGTTGGACATCTGGAGCACATGTTTTACTTTACACTAATCAGATGTACTGCCCTTAACTTTCTAACCTGACTTCTGCTATTCCACAGCTACTGGTTAAAAAAAGTCCCAGAGTGATTGCATTACAGAGTCTCAGACACATAAATCAGGTCTACAGAGTCCAGGCAGAGGCTTGGGACAGAAACTGGCTACAGGGACCCATAGTTTTTTGCACCAAAGGCCGAATTTGAGCATAGAACATGACAGCTGTTGCTGGTAATACTACTGCAGCTGTGTGGAACATGTTGCAGTTTCAAATCCGTTATTTGAGGAGAGACACTACTGCGACAAAATCCACAGTCACAGAAAGAATCACAGAATGGCTTGGGTTGGAAGGGACCTTAAAGATCACGTAGTTCCAAACCCCCTGCCATAGGAAGGGACACCTGCCATTAGACCAGGCTGCTCAGAGGCCCATCCAACCTGGCCTTGAGCACTTCCAGGGATGGGGCATCCACAACTTCTCTGGGCAACCTGTCCCAGTGTCTGACCACCTCACAGTTGGCAGCACTATTTGCACTCAAAGACAATCAAGGAAAGAAGTAATGAAACCAAATGCTGCTTTTCCAAAAGCAGTATTTCCAGTCAAACATAGATATAAGGAATACGTAAGAGCAAAGAAAGTATTGTCCTGTTCAGATGAACACTAAACTTTCTTTGGTGGGGCAGGGGCTGGTAAGTAGAACTTCTCTAATTTGCAGCAGTCTGGGTTCTTTCCATTACCTCAGAGTTTACTTTAAAAACAATACAAAGCAGTCCATCTTGAGCTAAATGTGCAATTACCTCTTCATCGAAAAGATGACAACAGGCATCTGACAATGGAAAAAACCCAACAAAATTATAAACTGTCCATAGCCCTGAGCCCACTGAGGCAACCAGAATTTCTCTGAAGCAAGCACCAAATACTCATTCATGAAGTAGGTAGGAAGGTTTATTCAAACACTAATTCTCAGCTGCAGCAATGAAGTCCCCAGCTCATCCTCAGATCAGTTTCACATTCCCAATTCACACGTCATTGTGCTGCCAAGTTATAGACATGAAACAAGTAATTTTTGCACAGTTCTAAGTAGTTCCTCCTTCCAGTTCACACAGACTAAAATAAACATGCTTTCTTTTACAGCATTCAGCTTCAACTACTGGCAAGCTTCTCCCAGTCACGGAACAGTATTTTGCAAATGGTCACAAGGCAGGCAAGCAGCTGCAGTGGTAATTGGTTCCTACACAAAGGAAAAGCACTGCTGACGTTTTCCCAATTGGTCAGTTCCATTTCTTTTCAAAGATGCTCTTTCTCTCTCTTGAAGCTCTTTTCAAAATTAACTTATTCCTACCAAGTCCAGCTCTGCTGGGAAGTCATCATTACCTGGCCAAAACCAGTTGGGACACCTTTTTCCAAACACAGTAAATATAATTTTTTAACCATGAAGGAAAAAAGTCAAGATCTATCGTGGTTTAGCCCCAGCCAGCCATCAAGCCCCACACAGCCGCTCACTCATTCCTCCACCAGTGGGATCAGAGGGAGAATCAGATGGGTAAAAGCTGGAAAACTTGTGTATCGAGATAAAGACAGTTTATTAGGGAAAGCAAAAGCCATGCACACAACCAAAGCTAACCCAAGGAATTAATTCACTGTTTCTCATGGTTGGGCAGATGCTCAGCCATCTCCAGCAGAGCAGGGCACCATCATGTGTAACAGTGACTTGGGAAGACAAATACCATCACTCCAAACATCCCCTCCTTTCTCCTTCTTCCCCCCAGGTTTATATACTGAGCATGATGTCATATGGTCTGGAATATTCTGCTGGTCAGTTCAGGTCACCTGTCCTGGTTGTGTTTTCTCCCAGCCTCCCATGCACCCCCAACTTCCTTGTCAGTGTGGCAGCACAAAAATCAGAAGAGGCTTGGTCTCTGTGTAAGCCATGCTCAGCAATAAGAACATCTCTACATTATCAGCCCTGTGTTTAGCACAAATCCAAAACACAGCCCCATACCAGCCACTGTGAAGAAAGTTAACTCTACCCCAGCCAAAACAAGCATAGCTACTAACCCATACTGCATTCTCAGTGATTCCAGGCCTTTTGAAAGAAAGTTTTGGGTTATTGTTTCCCCTCCATCACTTTTCCCACTTTTTATGGATGACTTTCAATCTGGCGTGTACGAGCTGAAAATGAAAGTGAACAAATACAGACAACTACCTCTATCCCCAGGGTCTGCCAGAAGCAGGATTAACAGTAACTAGTATATTAACTATTCACTGCATTTGGGCCTTCATATGCACACAGATGACCTTATATACTTTTAGCAAGACAATGACTTAAGCCCTTCAAGACATAAGCTATTTTCCCCACAAGCCCTTAGCAACTCAGATGTCTTATTTCTCCTTTTTTATAAAAATGCAAATGTCACACACTTGCCGTAAGTTTGATCCACTTCACTTTTCTTTCTTTGTAATATCCTTTGAGAAGCTTAAGCAGTAATAAAAAAAATTCCTCTCCGGAATTTATCCTTTTCTTATTAAAAGAAAAACAAAACAAAACAAAACAAGGAAAAAACCAACCTCAAAACAAAATCCAAATAAATTCCCTGATTTAGAAAAATGTCTCCATGGAGAGACTTCGAAACATTAAAAGGAGACAGAAGTAGGGAGGGTAATTATCTATGTCGGATTTTTAATGAAAGATTCGTACCCAGCATTGTGTGGTTTCTCGTACCACTTTTAGCTTTCAATATTTATACATCCAACCCCT